ATGGCAGCAATACTCCATGCAAGGGCGAATTGTGGATTTGTATATCTGGAGGATCGACTCAGGGGAGAAAAACTTCCTAGCACGGCTCAGGGAGCCAACTTTCCTCGCAATGGACGAGGCAATTGACTCGATGTATTTATTCCATCTCAGGTCAGCAGTCAACGTGAGACCGAGAAGCCGCAGAGAGTTGCTCTCGGGAAGTTGAGCGTCAGACATTATAATGGAGGAAGGGAAGGCTTTCTGTGGTGATTAATAGAGAGCAGTTTTTTCTTCGAAGCGTTGAAGTTGACCAGCCAAATCATGCCCCAGTTCACAATCGATTGGAGGTCCTTTTCGAGGCGCACGGCAAGGTGAGTTTTGTCAGCGAGACTGGATTTGTTTTGAGGCAGGAATAAATTGTGGTGTCATCCGCGTAGATGCCGACTTGAGAAGTTACGGCGTCAGGAAGGTCATTTATATAGATAAGGAATAGAGTGGGGCCTAGGATGGAGCCTTGAGGAACACCTGCGTTCGTGGGGTAGGAACTGCAGGAGAATCCGTTGTGAACGACCTTCAATTCACGGTTTGACAGGAATGATTGTATTACGTTATATAATTGACCCGTAATGCCATAACCCTGGATCTTGCGGAGAAGGCCGGCGTGCCAAACCCTATCAAATGCTTTGGAGATGTCTAGTGCCACGGCTCGGGCTTCCCCGTTATTTTGGAGAGTTCGGTAGACTGTTTCCGTGATGGCTGTGAGCACATCGGCTGTAGATCTGGCAAAGCGGAAACCATATTGCTTGTCTGAGAGCAGATTATTGGATGTGAGGTGGTTAACCACCCCGGTATTGATTAGAGCTTCGAAGATTTTGCCGAAGAGGGGAAGGAGACTGATAGGACGGTAGTTGGAAGGGTCAGAGGGGTCGCCGGAGTTCTTGAAGACAGGAACGATCGAAGAGGACTTCCAGCAGTCAGGAAAACAAGATTCCTTGAGGCAGTAGTTGTATAGTTTCGAAAGGGCGGGCGCCAGTTCAGGCGCGCATTTCTTTAAGTATAGACTGAATCGGAAACTCTTCTGATTTAAATCCAATCACGAATCTGTGGTCACTCAGCAAGGAATAAAAAAAGTAAATAATAACGGAATTATTCGTTTTGTTGCAATTAATTTTCACAAGATATATATATATATATATATATATATATATATATATATATATATATATATATATATATATATAATACTGCTAGTAAGATGTAATTATTTTTTTTATTTATCTTTTCCTCACTCTTAACAAATCCACCTCGAATATGACTAACAAAATGTCCGAAAGATCTTTGGACAAAGAAAAAAATTATAATTTTCTGTACTCCCTTAATCTTAGAAAACGGGAAAACGTAATGATGGTGGAAAAATTAATTTAAAAAATTATTTAAATCTTCCTAGTTTGTAGTAATTAATGAAATATGTTTAAAAGAAAGGTTGCTGCCCAAATATATATATATATATATATATATATATATATATATATATATATATATATATATATATATATATATATATATTATGCTGCAACTATGCTGAGCAAAACCTAAGTTACAGTTTCTGGAAGAGAGCCTGTTATCTAGCGTGATCAACAATCCCGAAAAAGGCCACCACACGCGAACACTCGGTAACAATGACTTGTTCCGTCTACCCAAGTTCACTCACAAGGTTTGGGTCAACCCGTGGTATGGTTTTCAGGCACTTTCCAAGGGTGCGGCACGCTTGGATAGACACCTCAAGACAGTTAACATCAGAAAGTCTCTTTCCTGTCAAAACAACCATGTTGAGATTCGAACCCATGTCTAGTAGAAAGCGAACGTTCTAATAAGTACTCAGCCACACAGACACAGACACACACACACTTACACACACACACTTACACACAGACACAGACACAGACACAGACACACACACACACACACACACACACACACACACACATATATATATATGGCGTGTTTGTCTACAAATAAATACGTCCAAATTCACATTCCTCCCCGTCGTGCTTCAATGGCTTAGGGGTAAAATCTCCAACTGATCAGTCGGGTTTCGATCAGATTTATAGCCACACAGATGAGTTGTGAAGCAGCGAAACAGTTTTTCTGTGGATGATAATTTTACAACGAAGATAGTTACATACGATGCACACAGCAAGCAAGGAAATGCTCATACGTCCATATGAAAAAATGAATAAAGCCGAGAAAACACCATTTCGGTGAGTAACAACACCAGAAAAAAAAGTCTGAAAGCGTGCCTACAAAGTGCTCGATCTGATAAGAAATAGTAGAGGATATGATATAAAATTTCTTCTATCAGATTAATAGTGTGTAATCGAATAATTAATATTTGAAAAAATTCTTAGTAACGCGTTTCATCTCTAGGAGACTAATAATAGTTTTATCTATGACGAGAGAGGCTAGCGACAGTAGACGGAGAAAATAAAATCCGCAGAGAAGATGGTGTGGGTCGCGGCCTGCTGAAGCTGACGTACATAAGGAGACAGAAAGAGGCCAGAAGGGTTTTTGGCTATGGTTGCATAAGTCTTAGCATAAGCTAGCATTCAACTATGAATATTAATTCGAGTAATACTGATGATGTTATATATATATATATATATATATATATATATATATATATATATATATATATATATATATATATATATATCATCAAATAAATAAATATAAATAAATGTTCTCATAAAATATATATATATTGGTGTAAGTAAAACAGTGTTTAATGCAAAATAACAGAGCTCTTAAGTATATAATATAAATAATACTCCAAAGAATCGTCAGAATATGAGTGTGTGTATAAATGAATGTAGCGAAGAAGTACAACACTAGCTAGAATTTAACTTAGAAATTTTTTCAGTTCTAGGGACGCTTAAGTTTATAATTTTAACCACATGTGTATTTAGGTTTGTAACTTAGATTTTATTGACTTTTCTATAAAATGAAAATAAAATATGAAAACAGCCGCGATTATTTACGGAAATCAACCGAGAAACTATATGAGCCTAACAGAGCAGTTATCGACGCAGAAAATGGGATTGTCGTACCGAGTTCAAATTTCACCTGAGGCCGTTGTGTTCACTTTCACGCAGATATTCTTAGAAGACTTGAAACCGTCTCTTCTTCGTAAGTCAAGCTGGAAGTCAGTCTCGGCGAAGGAAACATCTGAATTCAAAACTGGTTTGGCGGTTCGGCCCGCAGCTGCACCCCATAGAATCCTACATGCCACAGTAGCCACAGTAACAACATATAGCGTGGTTGGGCTTTGGACCTTGTACTCCACAGGGTACCTACAGGGTTAACAATATTAACATATTATCTTCTCGTGAATATCGACAGTTCAATTAATTTTGTTCACTCAATACAAGGTCCAAGAGACACTCAAGGTAGAGGGTTAATGTGCCGTGTTTAAGAAAGGGTTAAAAGTGAACTTCTTCACGGGACAATGCAGGAAAAATAATGGTTATCTCTAGACTTGAAAAGGTCATGATTGTTATGATCAGGAAAACAAATGAACGAACAGTTTTTAGACATTAGACCATTCGAACCTCCAAGCTTACAGCACCTGGTATTCCCAAGCGGTCATCCATCTTAGTCGATCAGGCTCGACGTTGCTTAACTTTGGTGATTGTACAGGGAGCGGTATTTCAACCTGATATGTCTGTAAGCCTAGTTAGAAAAGAAATCCCATCAAAGCGCTTGAGAAATTACTTTGTTTTAGAAGTGTAGTTTCCTGGAAAACGGGCTTAAGAAAAAAGATTTTATAAATGTCAACCGACGTAGACATTAACTTTTAGTGAATGTTAAAGTTTTCTGATGGAGACGGATAATTTTACTATTATCTTTATGCCACTACTAAGTTAAGATGGTTAAATATTAATACAACTGTTAGTTTTGGAATTTAAATAAAACTTAGGTGTATACAGGACAATAATATCAAGTTAACTTGTGAAGATCAAATTGCGAATATAACCCTTGAGACTCGACAGATGCGTGCTAACTTGTAGTGATACACATGATTATGTGGATATGTTCACTAAGCTTAGCTTAAATCTGCATCGGGTTGAAATAGTAGAGTAACCTGTAAGGATCGAACTCACTTTAATGACCCGTAAGTCCATAGCTAGCGACCTTCTTACAATGACAGTGATGCAAATGTAAGCAAGGATACACTTGTACGGTCTTTTGCCTCTCCTTATCTATTCTTTGTCTTTCTAATTCTCAATCTTTCTATCACACACACATATACATATATACTCACTCACTCACTCTTTCTCCCTCTTTCTCTTTCTCTCCTTCTCTCTCTCTCTCTCTCTCTCTCTCTCTCTCTCTCTCTCTCTCTCGTTATTTTCCTTGTTTGCATGCAAGTTTCTGTTATTCGAGCTATAACGAGTCTAACATCAATGACAGTAACATCTGCTTTTGGTCATCACCGGGGGTGGAGTATGAATATGGTGGCGGTGGTCGTGGTCGTGGTGGTAGACAGTATATTCTAAGTCCCAAGGCGTAAATGGACAATCACAGATGCTACATTCACGTTCATCAAATTACGCCCGGAGATATACTCTTTCATTTCATCGTTTTCTTAATACTTTTGTAACTTTGCTTTTTGTTCTTTCTTTCTTTCCTCTTTTCTTTCTTTCTTTCTTTCTTTCTTTCTTTCTTTCTTTCTTTCTTTCTTTCTTTTCTTTCTTTCTTTCTTTCTTTTTCCAATGTATCCATTTTTTTTTATCCTCAGGTATCTTTTTTGTCTCATTTTCAATATTTCTTTTTCTGACATTTTTCTTTCTTTCTATTTATTTCTCTTTATCTTTATTTCTTTTTCTTTATCCTTTCCTTTCTTTATTTTTTCTCACGTTCTTTCTTTCGTTTTTCAATCTATCCAATGTTTTTGCATCTTCAAGTATCTTTTTTTCTCTTTTTCTATATTTCTTTTTCTGATATTTATTCTTTCTTTTCTTTCTTTCTGTCTTTCTTTCTTTTACTTCCATTTACTTTCTTCTTTTTCTTTCTCTTTCACTATTTCTTTTCTTTCTTTCTTTCTTTCATTTTCCAATCTATTCTGTTTTTTTCATCTTCAGATATCGTTTTTGTCTATTTTTCTATATTTCTTTTTCTGACATTTTCTTTCTTTTTGCTTGCTTGATTGTTTCTTTCTTTCTTTCTTTCTTTCTTTCTTTCTTTCTTTCTTTCTCGAATCTATCCTATGTTTTTACTTTTCATTTTCAGACATCTTTTTTGTCTCTTTTTCTATATTTCTTTTCTGACATTTTTTTTCATTTTCTTTTTCTTTTTACTCTCTTTCTTTCTTTGTCATTCTTTTTCGTTCCCTTTCTCTTTCTTTCTTTCTTTCTTTCTTTCTTTCTTTCCCTCTTAATAATTTCTTATCATCTAATTTCTTTCATTCCTTCTTCCTTGCAGTCTATCAATCATTCAACCCTTCTTTGCATTAATCTTTCATTTCTTTGATCTACTTTCTTTCTACCTTAACACTCTTCTTTCGTTTTTCATTTTATTATTTATTCTGTATTTTTTCTGTCCCTTTCTTTTTCTATTTTACTTCTTCTTATTTCTTCCCTCATTGATTGATTCGTTTTCATGACTTTTCAACCATTTTCAGATTATTTAAAGCCGAAACATATTTTTGACTTGCAATAATGTTTAGGAGATAATAATTATTTTCTGACACGAGTCTTAGTATTTGACCCATAGCTAGTAAGGGAAGTGGTGAATTCAGACCTTTCCCAAGAGTATTTGCACATAAGTGAATATAACGAACCCAACTGGAATTCGAACTTATCTTTGCCAATTTTGATTCCAAGAGTTTCTAATTTCAAAACATTACTTCTTTCCTTTCCCAATACCCTTCTTTCTCTTTTTTAGAAGCACTTTCCATGAAGCCAGGCTAAATAACAAACTAAATATTAGGTTTGAACTAGCAAATACAACACAGAAAAAAAAGCGAGAACACTTGGAACTCTATTCGTAATATAATCACCCTTTCAGTACGTAGGTGATCACGCCTCTCCACAATTTCCTCTTTGTTTTTATTATCAGTGATTTGCCAAATAATCTCGAGAAATATTGAGGAGTGTTTACTATTCGACTCCTCGATAGTTTGGAAGTCACAAATTTCATCCCCTTAGACTTTTTGTCGGCCAAGACTAAAGAGCCTATTCTACCCTGTTATTTAATCCCTAGCTTAGGGGGAAGAAGAGATATGTTGATTCCTTAAGGGCAATACAATACATACACCTCTTATAATAACAATTCTTAAAAGCGCTTTTCCGCTCCTGTGACATTAAATGCGATCAACCTTTGTCAAAATATTCTTAATATCATTTGAAACTTAGAATTATTGTAAAGAAAAACAGTCTAATTAGAAAAATAAAAACTAATCAGAATTATATTCAATCAAAAGATCTAGCCACAAGCTTCTGTGCAAAGATCCCAATCTTATTTTATGGATCTAAGTCATTATTAATCAAAGTTTTGAATCGAACATACAAAATTCATAATATGGTATTTCCTAAATGCCTCTAATAGATCGGTGTATAGTTCAGCTATAACCAATTCATGGACCTTTATGTCACCAATAAGACGAACTGTCAAAAGGACGTTTTTTCGCATGACACCGCTTTTTTAACTACGGTGTGTTTTGAAGTTTTATCACCTCTACATAACGTCATATTCTATTTCAACGCTTTCAGGGGTATTATCAAGGAGAGAATTTCACATGAACGATACAAGAATGCCCATCAGGTGAAAGACGCCGTTCGGAGAGCCTTTGTAACAATTAACATAGCACAGCTTCGTAAAATATTAGCCACTAAATGGCACCGCATCATTTTGTGCCAAGAAAATGATGGCGTTCATACAGACCTTCTCGATGTGTGACAGTGTCAATAAAAGTGGATAAACTGAATCCAGTACATGCCTTTTGTATTACTGTTCTCTTGTTCTCATTACATTTTGTTATGGTTGGTAACACAACTTTAGACATTCACCCTTCGGCAATGTTTTCAAAAGCGACTGTCAGAACTGAAATAACATCTAAACATGATGAAAGTAATTTTTGATACTTTTGTCGTTCTTTAGAATTTACAACAAAAATATTAAACACTATTTATTTATTAGATGGTTTATTTACACGAAAGATTTTATATTTACAACATTCTTAAAACTAATACCATTAATGCAATGAAATATTCATCACTTACCAATTTATAAAGATATAAATACGAAAACAATTATTTATTCATAAATGTATAAACATTTATTAAATAATTAAAATATATTTACCATTTAATAAAGTTGGAATAAATTGGCAATTAGCCAATGTTTTGCCACCTATTACAATAAATACTATAACAAATGATGTAAATAAATAATGTTTATTATAGTCAATTCTCAAGAACAAAGAAAATGTACAAATTCACATGATGATTTTCATGCGTAGCTTAGATATGCTATAAGTTCGAATATTTTGGGCACACAATAAGGATCGAACTCACTATTCAGTCATAAATGATCTAACGAGACAAGATTGCGAACCATTACACCGCGTCGAGGTGTCCCATTTTCGCTTTCATATGTTTAGGCTTCATTACAATTCTAATCATCACATTTTAAAACAATAAACGTTGCCGAATAGTGAAGGTAGTTATCATAAAAGCGGTGTCATGGAGGAAAAAAAAGTTCTTTTGACACCCCGTCTTATTGCTGGTACGTAGGTCCATGTTTTCCCAATTCAGTATCGGCGATAAGAAAATTGAACATACACCCTTGTGCAAATAACCGCTTTAGTTTCCTTTCTTTCAGCATACAGTCAGTCTTAGACCCACTGGAGTGACAGGGTGTAACCGATTTCTATTTTTACTCAGATTAGGTCATTTTCATATGAATCTATTTTCGTGGGGTATGATGAAATTTGTTTGGCCTGGAAAAATATTGCGTCATCCGTGATTCATCACGCCCATTTACTATTGTCGCGACTGTCGATTAGTTGTCCTACGGCCATTGACTGCGATGGACGTTACTCCAAGGAAGCGTGGAAAATTTGTAACGCTGCACAAACACACTGGCAAGCCTTACAAGTGAGCAAATCAAAGTACCATAGACTGGCTCAGAAACTCTTCTGATTTAAATCCAATTGAGAATCTGTGGTCAATCTGCAAGGAAATAATTCGTGGAATGGACATAAGAAGTACTAACACGTGCTCTGGATCATGTTTCATTGGAAAAATACGAAAAACAGTAAATAATAACGGAATTATTCGTTTTGTTTCAATTAATTTGTGCAGGTGGTTGCTGCAAGAGTAATTTGTCCAACACTGCAAGATGCTAAACTCCCCAAATATTAACCTAAGAATTCGAGTCATATTGTTAATTAGACTTGTCTCAAATGGATGTCATACACGACGTCCAAATCATTATTTCAGATTGCAGAATTAAAACGTTTTACTTTACACTTTACAGAAGCTAGCAAAATAAAATTTTAAAAATATCTAAATCTATATAAAATATTTGATAAAAATTATAATTAGTATAAATAATACAATAAATATACGATTCTAACTTCAATAATAGAACGATATTTAAAAAACTCATATTCGATAAAAATTATTTTAAAATATAAATAATATACGTTATTTGTCATTATTAGTCATCTCTGAAATGAAATATTAAAAAGATTAAAATCTATCATAAAATTTTGTAGAAAATGAGAAATTGAAAAAAATCGATTTCAAATTACTATACACATATATAGACTGTATATATGTCTATATAAATATATTTTTTACAATGTGATATAATTATAACGGAAACAGGCACCAATGTAAGAGATTGTTTGTTAATAGATATATAAATTGTGTAAATATAAAGCAAAGCATCATATTGACTCTTAGTTTGACGCTTTAAAGCGACCTTCAAATCAAGTGCTACAACTATTTTGGCAGTATATATACATATATATATATATATATGTGTGTGTGTACGTGTGCGTGTGTGTATATATAGAGAGATTTGTGTAGGGTTAAGGGAAATGGGGAAGAGGCAACTGTCTCTTCGTAATTCCTCTGCTTAGCGATAATTCTGTTTGTATGATCATGACATAGAAATTACTTATTTATGCTGGTTGTGTTGTTGGAGGAAGTGTGTATAGGATAGATTTATTTATGCTCTTGACCTCTAGATTTCTTATATATTATTTATTTAATATAATAATTTTTTTATATCTTTATTTATTTGTTTTGTATATTTTTGTTTATCATAAACAGTATTAAATAACATTTACCGGTCTGAATGTCCGAGAAATTTTCATAGAAAATATTCGTCCTCCGACAGGATTCGAATAAACAGAGCATTTACTCAAATATTTGTATCTATAAAAAGAATGTTAAGCATAAAAATGTCTTAAAATAATTCTCGGACTTTGTCTATTTCATAATTAAGATTGATTAACGAATAGTGCTTAGTATGGTGCAATGGTTAAAACCATATTTTGCCGACGCATTCACTAGGTTTATGAGTGTAAGCTTAACACTTTCCATATTATTCTGGTCTTTAGTGTGATTAATATTATTATATGACCACGTATCTTAAGACACCTTTTTCAAACATTAGAATATATTGCATTATTCTATTCATATTTCAGTACAATATTTTCAGAATAAAAGACAACTACAAAATTAAAACTACTCTCGTCTAGGAGTCTTAAATGTGAAAGTTTATTTCTCGAAATAAATTTCCTGTTAGTCTGTGGCTTCATTATTTATACGGCAAGAATCCAATGACGGTTGCAAATACATGTTTTGCCCAGAAGCAAGTTAGAAAATATTCGTGTCTGATCTGACCTCACATGTTTAGATGCAACTATTTTCCTGAACCTGACCCAATGACTATCACCATCAACACTTCTTTTTGTCTCTCTCTGACACCTTCCCTATTTGGCTTCCTTTCCTCTCCTCCTCGGCTATACTTTCGGCTCACTGACCAATGCTCTGTCTTCATTCGGCCCAGTGAACTGTACATGGGAACACGGCAAGATGGCTGCTGTCCAAAATGGCCACAATTGAGAAACAAATGACCGTCTTTTGAGGCGGTATTTAAACTTCCACTTTTTGTTCATTAAAAGGGACCTCGTTTTCTTGTCGACAATGGCCACGACTTCCCGCTTTTCCCTCGAAATCGGTTCTCGCTTCAAATTTGTCTGCAGCACAGCGGATCGATCAGCGAAGCCCATGAAGGAATTCCTGAGTTTCGAAACATGAAACACGCCCTTTTGTGTACGTTCTTGTGTGTAAGTCGTTGTATGGCCGTTCAGTAAAATTTGCGCGTGTCCATGGCCAAATTGTTATTCAACCGGAAGAAACTATTCATATACATCATCAGAAACAGATATGTGCTGAACTTGGATTATTCGAAATGAATAGATAGTGTGGTCGTTATAAAAAGATAGATCATCA